TACTGCTCTGTGACCTCCTCCCACTGTCTTGTTAGGCAACAGAAAAGTAGTGAGAATGATAGCAGAGGTTTTGCTAAACTAAGGACAGAGCACACACAAACGAAACAAGAAGGATAGCAAATGATTCTGCTAAACTGAGAACACAGCATTTATACTGGAGAGAAGGAAAATATCTACAGCTACCTCACTACAGCACCAGGCAAATTTTTTTTTAATTTAATCTAATCTAATCAATGCCACCATTGAAAAGCAAATTATGCCATAAACCACTCTATAAGCACATCTGATGCCACAAACAGTGCCCGCAGCTTTGGCAGGGTGGGCGGTGGTACTCCTCCAGACTTTCAGCGGAGGAAGCCTCAGAATCTAGTTTAACACTTTCAATAATTATCAGAACAAAAATTATCTGTAAGTTATGGAAAAGTGTATGTGCATTCATTTTGATACTATTTTAAACATTTTCTCTATTACAAGAAATACCAAAGTAATTATAATCCTGTAAAAGTGCTCGTAGTGTCTTGGTTCCTGAAAATTGAGTACAAACCCAAGTTACACATATAGCCAAATGATTCCAAAATCCACTCTATAGGCAATGCAAGCAAATGGTTGTGTTTCCTAAACTTCTGTATTTCCCAGCTAAAATAAAGCAAAAGTTATGTCAGTTAAAATGTTAAAATTTAGCAATAACAAAGACAATGCAGTGAGGGTATTTCTATTGCACAGTTTTCTGAGAGATGACCCATTTCTTTGTATTGGTGTCATCTCCCAGGCAGTATTAATGCAGCTACACTGCATAGGAAGCCCTTAGAGCAGAAGGAATATCTAAAATGATCAAACTTCAAACATGAAGCAAGGAAGACATGGCAAAACAGAGTCAATGAAGGAAAAAAAATGATTATTTAATTTATAAGATATCTTTGAAAGTTCATTGCTTGTTGCATCTGTTTACTGTGCCATGTTAAGCTGTTTAAATGTGTCAGATTTTTTAATCAATTAAGTTTCTTAGGTGTGTGACTGTATGATTTCCATTAAGTTTGTCTGCAATGGTTACCATCTGTTAATATATTGTCTCAGGGTATAAGTTTTTTTTCCATATGTATACAATACATTTGTCAAAAATATCAAATTTTGGTCATGGCATAGATGGGTTCGTATCTCATCAGACAACAGAACCCATAACAAATAACGAGGACAATTGTGAAGGATTAGTTTCAGAGTTCATTGGAAGTCTTTCCATAAACCTTAGTGACCTCTGATTATGCCAAAGGAAGAGTTACCAAGGTTGTCAGTTTTCCTTTGCCAAGCATTTGCTGAGAAAAACACCACATTTGTTGATGGAAACAAGAAGTTTTATCCTGAGGCCTGATATCAGCAGATGAAGGTAATTTCCCAGGGAGAAGTGAAAAGATACCGAGCCTCTCAGTACTATCATGCTAATGTAGGAAGAGAAAACCTGATCTGGTTCACTTCTCGTTTTCAGTCATTCCAGATCATTTTCATCAGCAATTGTTTACTTGTTTCCAATTCCAATTCTATTAATGATGGCAATCCAAAAGGGCAAGAGAAATATTTATGGCAATATCTTTATCTTGATAGTGTTCTCCATTTAAGCAGACATATCTGTCTCATAAAAGGCATGGGACAAGAAGCCTTATCTCAGAAGACAATTAAGCTGGTGGTTAAATCACAGACTTCATTTGACACCACATCTACATGCATGTGAGAGAGAGAAAACAAGTGTTTGTAGAAGTGGTATTGGAAAAGATTTGACCAAACTCCACAACAGCTATTATTCCCAGCTCAGGCCTGTTTTTTAAAGGCTTCCCCCAAATTTGTGCCTCCTTAATCAGTATCTGCATTCATTGATTTTCGATACTTTCCCTAAATCTGTGTTTATTTTTATAAGGTAGTCCAAATTTCTGTCTTCTCCCAGCTCCACACTGTGGCAGAAAAAGTGCTCTCTTCATTTTAAATGTAAATAATCTTTTAGGTTAGCTTCAAATAATGTAGCATAAGGACATCAAGGCTGATTTGGGTCTATTAACAGGTACTCAGTTTATATACTCAACTTGAGTATATTAACATACACTCAGTATATGTTAATGGAGTCCATTTTTCAAATTTGTGTGCCTGAAATATGGATATTTATGCCTGGAGAACATAGATGGGAAACACACCTTGCATGGACTTATTAAAGACTAAGAGAGTAGGCTTGACACTGATTTTAGAGAAGTTCTCGTATAGGCTGAACATGGTCTTTTATCTTCTGCCCTCCTCTAATGACTACTGTGACTGAAGCTTAGAGTAAATGAAGTACCTTGATTTGAAAAAAACTATACAAATAATCCATTATTGAATAACAATGGCAGTTTGAGCCAATATCTAGTGAACTTAGTATTGAAATAACTCTCAATTTTTTGAGCATATTTGGAACTTCTGCATCATTCACCAAGGCAGCAGCTACAAACAAAAATCTGACTGTACAAATGACAAGCAGGTGCATGGATTTTACAGATACGGAACATTATTATCATCTAGTCCAACTTCTTACTCAAGACAGGCCATAAAACCAGCAAAACAGACAAGGTAGATGCACTCGAAAATTACAGGTTAAAAACATCCACATGATTGTTTTCCAACTCTCTGAAACTATGAAATTCCCAATAGAAAAGGAAATGAGGAACGGCAACATTATTGCACGACGTCACTCACACACTGGAAGCAACAGAAAAGAAGTGGAAGAGAAAGAAAACAGGGACTTATGGAGGGTTCATGCTGCCATTGAAGGAAACTAGCAGGGAAAATCGTAAGGAGGGAATCAGATGTGTACTAACTGAAAATAGCTAGTTACCAGTAATGGATACATTCATGTTTGTACAGGTATTCCTGGCATTTTCAAAGTCTGACAAATAACTCAAAGCAGTGTAGATTTGGCAGGGAACACTGCTTCGCTGCTAAAATGAGATGAATTCATTGTAGTAAAACCCCTTTTGTCAACTCCTGAGACTGAAGCAACTTTTGCATAAATAGCAAATCAGTGAAAACTGAGTAAAGAATTTGTTGCTTAGTTAAACAGCAGTATGACTGAATACATTTAAAACAAAAACGTATTAGGAGGTGTGAACTGAATGAAGAAGATCCCATTAAACCTATTAAGATAACTATAAACCTGTCTATAATAACAGTTTACCAAAGTCAGCAATTGAAAAAAAACAGCTGGTTGTTCAATAAGGCTGAAGCTCTCCAACTGCTCAACTTCAGCTCAAGAAATGTAATACTGTGTATTTGTCACTGATCCTCACCACATCCAACACAGAAACAGCTTTTAGATTTCATTCTTTCCTTATAGATGCCAATATTTCAGGCCCCAAGAGGAGAGCAGAAATGCACTCTTACAGGGCACGGTTTCTGCAGTCATACATGTTCAATTAAGCGTGGAATTTCTCTTCCAGCTAAGAGAAGCTGTTCAGTCTATTCAGCCACCTTTAGATTTCCTACACTTTCCTCTGTTTCATCTTCTTCTGAAGTAGCAAACACAAGTGCAAACCTAATCAAGTAGCTCATTTCCCTTTGTGAGAGGGTACATATCACTTTCACTCATCTTGGTCTCATTTCTGGTTTTACCATTGTGTTGCCCAAGAGCAAAATCAGAACAGTAGTAGTCAGTGTTTAAGCTTGAAAAACTTCATAATCTCACATTTTTTATGTCTGGGCTTATTATCAGTCTGTAGACAGAAGGCGCTTTCGTACAGGAAGCAGAATCTTGGTTCCACTGAAGTCTAAAGAAAACTTGCTCTTGACTTCAGTACAGAATATTAACTGGAGACTGTAACAATGCATATGCTTGTAGAGTGAATAGCATGATTTATATACTTTTTAAAATCCTTTGTCTGGAGAAATAGGATGAGTGGAAATGAGAAAGTAAATGGTGATTCATATTCTGTATTAAACTCTCTTCCTCTTTAATGGAAGTTAACTCAACAACTTTATTAGCTGCTGCATAGATATTCTATTTTGGAAATACCTCAACAACTATCTGAACTCACTGTAGCCTTTCTTTTCTGGTTTTGAAAGGGCAGGGAGAGAGCTTCTTTGTTGTCCTATTTTTCAAAATAGTGTATTTCCAAATATACTTATTTAAATAAAGAAACTGTAGGGATGCTTGTCTGTTCTAAAGAAATTAACTTTTTAATAAGCTCTGGAGTGCTGGGTTTAGGGGGTTTTTTATCTTTAAGTGCCAATACAGCATGGAAACCTCTGTCTCAGTGAGCTTTCCAGACCAAGTTTTTAAAATTGAGGAGCTGAACTACTGCTGATAGAAGCTAGAATTTTTAATGTCTATCCAGGTTTAAACTAACCTCAATGTTTAGAATCACACCCCGCTGTGCTACATAGCATTACATTTTAAATACTAAGTGCTGAAGAAAGAAAGAAGTTTTAAAGTGCTTCTATAGGAAACACAAAAGGTCCCAAGGAGATATTTAAAACAAAAAATTTTCAATTCTCCCCCCTTACTTGTTGTTGAGTATTAAAATGAGATCAGCTACTCCAGAGTCAGATAGAACAAAATTATTGGGAAACTGTGCTATTAAAAGGTTTAAAGTTCTCTACTGAAGTTATTTAAAGAAGAAGGGACTGCTCCTTAACTATTTCTTGCATGGAGGTCAAATCTGTAGTCTCTTTTACGGTTTCCTCAGGATTCACATTTTTATGGAATTAAGTTCTGGTCAAGTTGAAGATCATGCCTCCATTCAAATTAGCAAGGGTTTGCTAGCAACATGAAAGGAGATGAAAGGAGAGGCTACATTTAATCTTTCCTCAATTAATTTCTACGTCATGGGGTTTGACAGATTGAAGGGGAAAAGAAAAACCAGCTAGGTGATCCATTTTTAGACTGTAAATCTGTACTTTCCCTCCCCTTTTAAGTGCTCTTTTGTTGGATTATGTAGCACCTCTCTGACTGTGCTGGTCACTGACTGGTTAAACACTTTCCCTCGTAGGCTTGGTTCCATGATGTGTGTAGCCGTGGACAGTGGAATAAACCCATACGGTCAGTGAAAGCAGCCAAAGGTTAGTAGTGCAAGGAAATTATTTCTTTCTAGTAATTTCAAGCAGTTCTACAGCCTCTGCCATAACTCCGTGTTCCAGAAAGATTGAAATTTTGCATAAAACAGGCTGTGGAAGAAGGGAGTAACCGGCAGCCAAGAGACAAGAGAGCAATTATACACAACTCACTGTCACTTCTGTGTATTTTTGGCAGCATTTCAATAATCTAGTAAAAGCAGTAAATAACTTAGCTGGGTTCTCAATTGCTATGGGCTTTCCAAAGCATTTTATACCCATATTGCTGGGAAAGAATCAGATGCACAAGATGAAAGGCATTTGAGGGACAGGCCCATACTTTGAAGGGAAGATTTTGGTCTACAGGCATATTTTATGTTCAAATTTTTTAAGTTTAGCTTAGCTTAAAATGAATTTTGAAAATAAACTTTTTATCTTTTGGAAAGAAGTGGACTCTTTTTCAGTATTCAGAGGATTCCCTTCCCCTTCTCCCTTTTTAATAAGTCAAGCCTTTGTACCTGGAGTCTTCAAGATCCAACTGTTCCTTATTTTGCCCAGGAAGTTAAGGTGACAAGGAAACATAGCAGAATGCATACTCCCTAACAATCTTCTCTGATGCAACATACACACTCATATATATATTGCATATATATGCATACACACACACAAATATAGTGTGTATATATATAGTGTGCATATATAGGTACACTATTTCCAATCAGTGAACTAGGGAGCGGAAGTCACATCCTGGTATAATTATTAGATACTTGTCCCAGCTGTAAGCAATTTTTTTTAGCCTTTTCCACTATCACAGGTGTTTTTTGAATCATCAGTTTAGAGATCCTACAATTTTTCTTCAATTACTACTCCTCTTTGTGCATTGATTGATTCCTTTCTCTAAATTGTCCATCTTAAAGTTTTGTCACTGAGCCTTTGGCTTCACACAATATCTCAAAGATAATTCCACAGTCTACCCTGTTAGAAGGAAGTAATCTGTCTGCAAGCAGGTTTTTAAGATTACTTTCTCTTGTCCACAGCCTAACTACGTCACAGAGATGTGCTTTTATCTATCTTTAGAAGCAGGTTTACCCAGCACGGACCTTCCTGAAAAAGAAACAGGAGTGTCTTTAGTACTCCAACCACCTTCATGCTCTCCACCCAGCATTTCCAAGAACGGTGTTATAAATAGCATCAACATGTCACAGGTGACAGAGGGAAAATATGTCTAGTTTTCCAACCTAACCTCTGCCTGGTTGCATGGATGCATGTACACAAACACACACAAACACATTCAAATAAATGCATGCCTCAGGACGACTACAAGGCATGCATTTATGAGGTTATGCAGGGAGAAAATTAGAAGGGCCAAAGCCCAGCTAGAACTTAATCTGGCGATCACTGTAAAAGACAATAAAAAATGTTTCTGTAAATACATTAGCAACAAAAGGAGGGCTAAGGAGAATCTCCATCCTTTATTGGATGCTGAGGGAAACACAGTGACAAAGGATGAGGAAAAGGCTGAGGTACTTAATGCCTTCTTTGCCTCAGTCTTTAATAGTAAGACCAGTTGTTCCTGGGGTACCCAGCCCCCTGAGCTGGAAGACAGGGATGGGGAGCAGAATGAAGCTCCCATAATCCAAGGGGAAGTGGTTAGCAACCTGCTATACCACTTAGACAAACACAAGTCTATGGGCCCAGGTAGGATCTGCCCAAGGGTACTGAGGGAGCTGGTGGAAGTGCTCACCAAGCCACTTTCCACCATTTGTCAGCAGTCCTGGCTAGCTGGGGAGGTCCCAGTTGACTGGAGGTTAGGAAAAGTGACGCCCATCTACAAGAATGACTGGAAGGAGAATCCTGGGAACTACAGACCTGTCAGTCTGACCTCAGTACTGGGGAAGGTTATGGAGCAAATTATCTTGAGTGCCATCACGCAGCACGTACAGGACAACCGGGTGATTAGGCTGAGTCAGCATGGGTTTATGAAAGGCAGGTCCTGCTTGACCGACCTGATCGCCTTCTATGACCAGGTGACCCACTTAGTGGATGAGGGAAAGGCTGTGGATGTTGTCTACCTAGGCTTTAGTAAAGCCTTTGACACTGTTTCCCACAGCATCCTCCTGGAGAAACTGCCTGCTTATGGCTTGGATGGGCGTATTCTTTACTGGGTAAAAAACTGGCTGGATGGCCAGGCCCAAAGAGTTGTGGTGAAAGGAGTTAAATCCAGTTGGTGGCCGGTTACAAGAGGTGTTCCCCAGGGCTCAGTACTGGGGCCAGTCTTGTTCAATATCTTTATCAATGATCTGGACGAGGGGATCAAGTGCACCCTCAGTAAGTTTGCAGATGACACCAAGTTGGGCGGCAGTGTTGATCTGCTCAAGGGTAGGAAGGCTCTACAGAGGGACCTGGACAGGCTGGATCGATGGGCCAAGGCCAATTATATGAAGTTCAACAAGGCCAAGTGCCAGGTCCTGCACTTTGGCCACAACAACCCCA